TTAAAAAGAACGTATGTAGTAAGTACTGTACTAGGCACTGGGGATACAAAGACATAAATAAAACAGGCCCTGCCCTCAAGGAGCTTACAATCTACTGAAGAAAAAAGAAACAAAACAAATACAAAGCAATTGTGTGTGTGTGTGTGTGTGTGTGTGTGTGTGTGTGTGTGTGTTGGAGGGAGGTAGTAATAACTGGGAGAATCAAGAAAGGCCTCTTAGGCCCTTGAGCTGGACCTCTTCTTTCTCAAGTGCTCTCTCTTTAGCAAAAGTGGAGCAACTAATAATTTCACAGCTTCCCCTACAATCGCATCTCTTAGAGGTTGGAGGAACTAAACAGGAGAAATTCTACTGTGTTTCTGATTCCTGCCAGAAGAGAATAACCAATTGCTTTAGTGAAATTATGGGAATCTTTGGGGGCAAAGGAGGGGGAAAAAGTGTCACTCTCTCCTAGATTTTTGCTTTGTTTTTGTTGCTAAGCAATGGGGTTAAGTGACTTGCCTAGGGTCACACAGCTAGTAAGTGTTATGTGTCTGAGGCCAGATTTGAACTCAGGTCCTCCTGACTTCAAGGCCGATGCTCTATCCACTGCACCATGTAGCTGCACCTTCTCCTAGATTTTTAATAAAGGAGAAGAAAACTAAACACAGGCTGGAAGAAGAGGTAAGATTCCATGGAGTTGAAGTCTGTGGTGGAAGTCAGGCAAGGAAGGATGGCAGGTTCTCAAGTATCCAGTTCTGAAGACACCAAAGAAACCAGTCTGATGAGGAAGAAGATGGGAGGATGTCTGAAGAATTCAATGTGGATGCACGGGGAACTCACAAATCAACTTAGATTTTTAAAAATGTTTTATTGGTTTGAAAAAAGCATGCATTTCATGCTTCCCAATAAACTCCTTCCTCCCTCTAAACAACCAAAATAGTTATATATACTGGCACACTGACCATATTTGACAACATATATGTTGTTCTTCCCTCCCCCTGACCACAACTGATAAAGGAGAGGAGTGTTTCGTCCTGTCTTCTAGATCTAGAATCTGTATTGGTTATCATATTTCATTTGAGTTCAGCTGCCTTTCTGTATTGACCAACACGACTTTTTTTTGAGACAATTGGGGTTAAGTGACTTGCCCAAGGTCACAAAGCTAGTAAGTGTCAAGTGTTTGGTCTGAGGCTGGATTTGAACTCAGGTCCTCCTGACTTCAGGGCCGGTGCTCTATCCACTGCGCCACCTAGCTGCCCAGCAACATGAATTTTTAAAACGATATTTTGAAGACGAAAACAAGGGCAGGTAATAGAGATTGAATGCAAAATCAGGGCACAGTCCTTTCAATAGGGTATGTGAGGGGTGTTAAAACTCAGAAGAACTGAGTCTGTGTGGAAAGGTAAGGACAACAAAGAGGTGTCCTCTTATACTACCTTGATTTGCTCAAAGGTGAATTGTTGTTCAGTAGTTTCAGTCATGTCCAACTTTTTTTTTTTTTTACTGAGGCAATTGGGGTTAAGTGACTTGCCCAGGGTCACACAGGTAATAAGCGTCAAGTGTCTGAGGACAGATTTGAACTCAGGTCCTCCTGACTCTAGGGCCAGTGCTCTATCCACTGTGCCACCTAGCTGCCCCCCCCCTTTTTTTTTCATGTCCAACTTTTTGTGACTCCATTTCTTGGCAAAACTACTTGAGTTGTTTGCCATTTCCTCCTCCAGCTCATTTTCCAGATGAGGAAACTGAGGCAAGCAGGGTTAAGTGACTTGCCCAAGGTCACAGAGCTAGTAAGTGTGTGAGGCTAGATTTGAACTCAGGAAGATGAGTCTTCCTGATTCCAAGTCCAGTGCACTATCCACTGTAGCGCCACCTAGCTTCCTGAAGTGAATACAAAGCAGTATTTCACAGAATTTGAGAGTTGAAATAGACTTCAGCGATCCTTGATTACACCCTTACCAGAAAAGTAACCTCCCTATAACATACCCAATAAGGGGCCATCTAGCTTCTGACTGAAGCGCTACAATGAGGGGAACCCTGTGACCCCCCAAGCCACCCCATTTTGGATATATTAGGGAAAAAGATAGGCAGGGAAAATGAGGAGTAGGACCACTGCTTAAGGTGGATAGAATGAGGATGATTGACAAAAGAGAGAAGGCTGAGCTGCTCAAATCTTAACTTTGTTCTGTTTTCTCTGCCAAGGAGAAAGACCTTTGGACAAGAATGGAAAAAACAAGTTTGGCTATTAGGGAGTGTGTACTCAAGGAAAACGAGATAGTAAGGGAGAACCTGACAGCCCTTGATGAGTTGAAGTCCTCGGGCATAAATGAACTATATCCTTGGGCACTGAAACAGCTGGCAGATGTGTCTCTGAGCCACTGACATGGAGGATCTTTGAAAGATTCTGGAGAATGAGAGAGGTGCCACAGGAATGCAGAAGGGGGTGGCACAGAGAGTGGAATCTTCAAGGGTGGTGTCACAGGCCAGTAAGCTTGACTTCAATTTCTAACACAATTCTACAGTGCATTATTAAAATGAATATCTAGACAGGGAATATCTAGAGATAGCAAGAATGATGACAAAGAACCAGCATGGCTTCATTAAGAACAGGTCACGCCAGACTCACCTTATTTACCTTTTTGACAGAGTTGCCAAAGCTAGCTGATTGGGGAACGCTATATGGTTTCCTTCTGTACTTGGCCCTAGACTGCTTAACATCTTTGTCGGTAACTTGGATATAGGTATAGATGGCATGAGGATTAAATCTGATAACACAAAGCTAGGAGGGATACCTAACACATTGGAGGATGGTCAGGATCCCAAACAATTATGATTCCCACCCCATCCTCCAGCCACTGGGCTCAATCTCAGAAGTTGAAATTTAATTGGAATAAATAATAATAGCTCACATTTGTATAGTGTTTACTATACGCCACGCACTGTGCTAAGCGCTTTTTATAATTTTTATCTCATTTGGTTCCCACAACAAACCTGGGAGGTAGGTGCTATTATTATCCTCATTTTTACAGATGAAGAAACTGCATCAAATGGGGTTAAGTGACTTGCCCAGAGTCACATGAGTAGTAAGTGTCTGAGGCCAGATTTTAATTCAGGTCATAAATGCAAAGGCTTAAACTCAGATTCACAAAACAGCCTCCTAAGTGCAAGATGGGAGAGGCATGACTAGATGGCAGTTTGTCTCAAACAGATGTGGGGTCTTAGTGGATGGCAAGCCCAATACAAGCCCACAGTGGCCATGGCAACCAAGAAAGATGGATTGTTTAGAAAGGTAAGAGTGTCCAAGAGTATTAGTCCCTCTGATATCACCTAAAGTACTCCAATCAGCTTTGGGCACTATACTTTCAGAAGAGCATGGATAATCTGTTTTGTTTTGTTGTTGTTTGTTTGTTTGTTTTTTGTTTTTGGCTAGGTAATGGGGTTAAATGACTTGCCCAGGGTCACACAGCTAGTGAGAGTGTTATGTGTCTGAGGCCGGATTTGAACTCAGGTCCTCAGGTGCTCTATCCACTGTGCCACCTAGCTGCCCTCGAACATGGCTAATATGGAGAGTATACAGAGGAGGTCTTCCAGAAGAGAGAAGGGCCTCAATTTCATGCCAGAAGAGAATCAGTTGAGGGAGCTAGGGGCATTTAGTTTCCTCATCTCCTCCTCCTCACTCCCCTAAGTCTCAGCTAAAGTCCCATCTTCTGCAAGAAGCATTTCCCAGTCTTCCATAAATCTTAAAGCCTTCCCTCTAAGACTAACTCCTCTCCCATTTATCCTATTTGCACACAATTATTTGCATGTTGTCTCACATTAGACCGAGCTCCTTGAGAGCAAGGACCATTTTTTGCCTTTCTTTGTACCCTGAATGCTTAGCACAGTGCCTGGCACATAGTAAATAAATGTTGTTGTTCAGTTGTTTCAGTCATGTCTGACTCTTTGTGACTCCATTTGGGATTTTCTTGGCAAAGATAATGCAGTGGTTTGCCATTTCCTTTTCAACCTCATTTTCCAGATGAGGCAACTGAGGCAAACAGGGTGAAGTGACTTGCCCAGGGTCACCCAGCTAGGAAGTATCTGAGGTCACATTTGAACTCAAGTCTTCCAGACTCTAGGCCCTGCACTTTACCCACTGCAGCGCCACCTAGCTGCCCTAGTTAATAAATACTTATGGATTAATTGACCTGGGGCAGAGAGAAGACAAGGAATGCTGCGACAATTGTCTTCCCGTATCTAGAGGACTTTTCTATGGATGACATGTTCTGCCTGACCCCAGAGGAGCAGCAGGAAAAAGCTGAAAACCAATGTAGACTTGCTATGAGGAAATACTTCTTAACAATTAGAGCTGTCCAAGAATATATTGATATATTGTAAAGGGGATCCTCTTTCAAGTGAGGGTAGGACTAGGTAGCCACTGAGACCCCTTCCAACTCTGAAGTTTGGTGATTCTGTGAAAAGTTAGCCAAGTCTAATTGGGTTTCACAACCTTCCAGTGGATTATGATCAGATAAGTTGACATTTGCATGAATATCTGCCTTCTACCAACATGTTTTGACACTCATATGGGTTTTGAAAATGATCTCCTTACTTCTGCTCATTTAGAGATGTATAACCAGCCCATCTGCATATGGGCTTATAACCTACAGGGACAAACACAAAATTGTTTCAAACATCAGATGGAATTCTTTGTCAAAACTAATACTAATAAGGGTGCAGTGCGGTACAAGGGAAAGAGCAGAGAATCAGAGAAGGCAGGTTCAAATCTCCCTTCTGACACTTCTCCAACTCTCAGTTTCCTTATCTGTAAAATGAGCATTCTTCAAATAGTTGGTTTTTGAGGCCCCTTCCTAGGACCTTGTGGGTGGGGAAAAATCACTTCCCTTAGTCCTTAGGATCCACCTCTGCAAAATGCACAGAACGGACTCAAAGGCTTCTGAGGTCCCTTCCAGTTCTACACTTCGGATCCTCTGACTGATGGGGGAAAGGGCGCAAATGAGAAACGGACACCTTTGAAAACAAGATATGTCATGGCTCTTTATTTGGAATTGTGTTTAAAATCATAATAGTAAAGTAACAGCACATGTGGAAACCAAGTATTGGCTTTTCAGCTCCTGCTCAGCAGAGACCAGAACAGAAAGAATCTAGGGTGGGAAGCAGAGGGAAAAGAATAATGGGGGGGGGGGGACTCTATCAGCCTAGAATGAGCAAATATTTACCATTAGAGGCATCTAAATAGGGCTTTGGATCCAGCAGAAGAAATCACTCCATTTTCCAGAGCAAGGTGACAGGCATCTTTAGACATATCATATATTATATGAAATTTAAAATCCTGATGAAAGTAATTACCCAAATCATGTATTTCTAAAAGGAAGTCACATCAGAAGGGGGTAGGGGAATGGGAAAACTACAGAGAAACTGACAATTGAGAGTCACTTGATGCCCCCAAACACTGCTAGAGCCTCTGGCTGCTGTGCGGGATTAGGCATCTTCCACTGCCTTCACATCTAAATGACTTGACAGTTTGAACATAGTACACATATTCCTTACTTCTGCAGAGAAATAAGCTTACCATTTTAATATTAATAACTTGAGATATAGGAGGGTTAGTAGCACCATGAAAAATGTTTCCCCCCCAAAAAAAAAAAACCCTACAGTCTTGTTACTTTAAACATATTCAGTGTGGTTCTTGTCCTAGCTGATTTTAAAAAAAAGGCCGTTTTACTTTGTGGGCCAAAAGCAGTCTTCATTTGCATTTTCCCTGGGTCTAAGAGGTCCATTCTTTTCTTTGTTCCTTTTGTAAAACATGCAAAGGAGAAGGCTCCTTCCAGCATTTCGCAGAGATGCATCTGGATCTGGACGGGTAACAGTCTGTAGCACCATTGGTGGGGCAGAAATAGTGCACCCTGGGAATTTTCCATTCAAACAAATATCATCCTCCTCCCCAAAATTCTCCAAGATTTTATGTCCTCTTCATACAAACTTGACATCGACTAATGCGTGTCCTCAAGTCTCCTGTTTTGAGAGTCTCTGGTTCTGGGTTACTGGTGAAATAGAACCAAGACAGCGTTCAGATTTATAGGATCTCAGATCTGCTGAGAAGGGCCCTTAGAGGTGATCTGATCCAACCCTGCACTTTGCATATGGGGCAACTGAGGCCTGGACAGGGGAAGGGAATTGCTCCGAGTTATACATGTAGTAAGCAAAGGGAAACATCGACCAAGGTTCCCAGACACTAAATCCACTGTGTGGGCAGGGAGGGTTAGTGCCAAAGCTTTTTCACCACTAAAAGGCCTTGGGAGCCCCTGTTTTCCCTCTCGTCCCCCCTGACCCCAAGCAGTACACCTTCTCTCCCCTCTACTTCTGTGTGCACACTGCTTCTCTCTTCTCCCCACCTTGTGCGTAGGTGTGTGCTCATGACCCCCCCCCCCAACCCAGGCACCCATGCCTACACGTCTTCCCACTTTTGCTTGTCTGGCTCTCTCCCCTGCCCTTGTGTTCCTGCACTGGTGTTTCTCTCTCCTCTGCTCTCTGCTTCCATGAATCAGAATCAATCTCCCTCCTCTTTCTCTGCTCCTATCATGCTTGCCTCTTTCTCCTTCTTTACTCCTCCCACGGTCTCCTTCTTCCTTTCCTCTGCTGTGGGGTGTGTGTGTGTGTGTGTGTGTGTGTGTGTGTGTGTGTGTCTTCTCCACTGTGGGTGTAGGTCTCTGCCCACTGGTATGTTTATGTGTGTCTCTCTTTGCTGGGTACATCTTTCCTCTGCTCCTGTACTGTAGGGGATTTTTCTCATCTCCTCCTTTTCTTTCTCTCCATCCCCATTCTTCCCTGCCTTTCTGTCTCCCTACCTTCCTCTTTCTGTCTCTTCATATCTCTCTTCTCTTTTCCTCATCTCTCTCCATCACCAAATGTCATCCCTTTTCCCCTCTCCCTCCCTCTCTATCTCTCCTTCCCTCCCCCTCATCTCTTCCTTTCCTCCATCTCTTCTTCATTGTCCTTTATGTCTCCCTCCACATCTCTCTCTCTCCTTCCCTTCTTTTTGTCTCTCCCTTTTTTCCATCCTTTGTCTCTCTTGCCCTCTCTTCCTCCTCTCGATCCTTCTCTCGCTGTTTTATAGATGGACTGGAAAGAGACAAGACTTGAAGCAAGGATACCAATTAGTGGGTGACTGGGAGGATGTTGGTATCCTCGATAGCAACAGGGATGTTAGGAATAAGGGTGGGGTGTAGGGTAAAGCCAGGTTGAGTTTGAGATGCCTACAAGCTCTCTGGTGGAGGTAGATAACAGGCACTTGGTGGGGTGTGTGTGTGTGTGTGTGTGTGTGTGTGTCTTTGTTCTCTGCACACGTGTCTCTCTCTCTGCTCTACCCAGATGTCTCTTTTCTGAAAAGCCTTGGTTCTAAGGCAGACTCAGATGCTGACTTGTTGGGCAATACCAGCCAAGGACCACTCTTTGCTCTACCTTCCAAAGACTGGCTACTAAGCATACCACATAACAGCAAAAGTTAAACCCCAAATTATGAGTTACCTCTGCTTTTTTGGGACCGTAGGGAGGAAAACATCACCCCTAAGCCAGCGTAAACTGGATAAAGACACAATTGGCCCTGGGTTTCCTGCCTTCTACCCAACTCAGATGGGCACTCGCAACCTTTGACCTGAAGGCAAGTGGGCCTCACCTGAACATGTCTGATGCCTCCACAGTTGCCAGCCAGAAGCTGTAGGAGTTGGCATAGTAGTTGCAAGTTCCCCGTCCGTGACATTCAATGAAGGGGGCTGAACGGAATTCTTCCAGGCAGGAACCAGGAGAGGCCAGGGCCTGGCCAGAGCCCTCTGCACCAGCACTCATGTGCTGAAAAACATGCAAAGAGCAATGGGTCCCAATTCTGCCCTCATGGTCATCTCTCTCCATCACCAAATGTCATCCCTTTTGCCCCCTCCCTCCCTCTCTCCTTCCCCCCCATCTCTTCCTTTCCTCCATCTCTCCTTCATTCTCCTTTATGTCTCCCCCCACATCTCTCCCTCTCCTTCCCTCCTTTTTGCCCTACCCCACATCTACCCCATGGGGTACCTGACAGGTTGAATTACTGAGGAAGAAAAGCCACACCCAGGGATTCCCTCAAATAGCTGATGGTGCCACCCCCCACTGAGCTATGAGCTACCTCTAGTAACTCATTATAATGTTGGAGCCTGGAAAAAGTACGTTGAAATCTCCACCCTGCCACTTACTCCCTGTTGGACCTAGGGTAAGTCACTTCCCCTCCCTCGGCCTCCTCAGCTACCTCCCCTGTAAAAGAAAGGGGTTGGCATTTTGGAGAACAATTTGGAACTATGCCCAAAGGGCTACAAAAACGTGCATACCCTTTGATCCAGCAATAGCACTTCTAGGGCTATATCCCAAAGAGATCAAACAAATGGGAAAAGGACCCACATGTACAAAAATATTCATAGCAGCTCTTTTTGTGGTGCCAAAGAATTGGAAATTGAGAGGATGCCCATCCATTGGGGAATGGCTGAGCAAGCTGTGGTATATGAATGTAATGGAATACTATTGTGCTATAAGAAATGATGAACAGGCTGACTTCAGAAAAACCTGGAAAGACTTATATGGTCTGATGCTGAGTGAAGTGAGCAGAACCACGAAGACTTTGTACACAATAACAGCCACGTTATGCAATGACTAAGATTGTTAAACTGAACGCTTCTCACATTACGAGGATCTAAGACATCTCCAGAGGCCTCAGGATGGAAAATGCTGTCCACATCCAAAGAAAGAACTGTGGAAGTCGCATTGCTATCACTTATTTTTACCTTCTGTTGAGTTTTGTTTCATCTTTCTGATGGTTCCTCCTATTGGTTTTAATTTTTACTTACAACTTCACTAATGTGAAAATATGTTTAATGGGTATGTAAATGTAAAGCCTATATCAGATTGTGCGCCGTCTTGGGGAGGGTGGGGGGACGAAGGGGGAGAAAAATTTTCAACTCAAAAGCATATGGAAGTGATTATTGATAAATCAAAATAAATTAATAAAAAGAAAGAAAGAAAGGAAGAAAGAAAGAAAGAAAGAAAGAAAGAAAGAAAGAAAGAAAGAAAGAAAGAAAGAAAGAAAGAAAGAAAGAAAGAAAGAAAGAAAGAAAGAAAGGGGTTGGGCTAGATGGTCTCTGAGGTCTAAATCTAGGCTCTTATGATCACAAGGGGAAATCAGTTTACTTACCCCACAGTGTACCAATTGCCAATAATAAACATTAAGGGTGAAAAATATCTATTATATATTGGTCAAAACTTAATCTCTTTGGGCCTCAGTTTACTCTTCTGTAAAATGAGGGGGTTGGACTAGATGGCCTCAAAGGCCCCTTCCAGGCTAGGTCTAAGCTCCTGTGTGAGACCTTGAGTAAGTCCCTTCTCTTCCTGGGGCCTCAGTTTCCTCCTCTAAGGTCCCTTTCAGCTCTTAGGTCCTCTGACCATAGAGGCCACTTCTATAGCTCTTTATGGTTGTTGGGCACTTTCACACCCACTATAATCTAATTTTACAGAGGTAGTCATGTATATGGACATATGAAGACTATAGTGATATAAACCACAGAACCTTACATTGGGAAGGGAGCCCCTAAAGGAAGCAGGAATCCTCTCCCTGATATCCTTGAAAAATAATTCTCTACTCAGTGCTTGAATATCTTCAGTAATGGGGAACTCACCCTTTCCTGAGGCAGTCTATTCTAGGTCTGGAGAGCTCTATTCCTTAAATCAAGCCTAAATCTGCCTCTCCTCTCTCAAGTTGTCCCTTCCTCATGTTAATGGGCCCTCCCAAGGGGGCTTGGGAGCCACTTACCTGACATACAAGCCAATATATGGATTATACACCAATGAGTGTACACACACACACACACACACACACACACACACACACACACACTCTCTCTCTCTCTCTCTCTCTCTCTCTCTCTCTCTCTCTCTCTCTCCTCCCCAAAGGAATCCCCTGGCTGATGCCAGGATTCTATACATCAGAGACTGCCCATCTCAGAGACTTTACAGGCCCAAGGAATAGAGAGTTTTCTCTGACTAACAAATGTAAAAGAAAGCTGCTTTTTCATACCATCATAAAGGAATAACCAATCCAGAGAGAATCCCAGCCCTGTGGGCAATGGGGGATCTGGGTGGTCTGACTGTGAATTGCAATCACTGTTGCTGGGGCTTCACATACTGAGCATCTAGAAGAGAACAATAGTCTGGGTCAGGATCTGGGCCACACTCTGCCTTCTAGAAGAAGGTTCTCCTGGGGGAGGCGGGGGAAGGGCACAATGGTCTGAAGAGAAGTGGTATGCAAACTATGGGCAATGGCATCATACTTACTGCCATATGACCTAAGCTACTAGCTGGGGCACGGAGATCAGGGAGGGAGGGAGCAGAGCCAATGTTCCAGCTCTGCCATTGGGCCTTCTATCCCAAGTTTCTGGGCCTACTCAGCCTAATCACAGCATAATGAGTACACGAATTCAGTTACTGAACTGTTCTAATTACTTGCTATGAGAAGGACCCAACTGGAGAGGCCAGATCTGGTCACACTGAAACTGTGATAAGAATACTGTCTGATTGATTACCTGGGACAGGGGAGACAGCTAGCCCCACCCCAATCTCCACCCCTTCTCCTTGGATCAGGCCTTGGATCAGGGGGCAGCCAGGTACTACTAGGCCACAAAAAGACCAGATAGGAGAACCCATACTTTTTCCATCTCACTCTGCCCCGCCCCCTCCCCTGCCCCACTGAGAGACAGTTTTAAGACAAATAACAGAAGGCTGACTTCATAGTGAGGGTAATGAATGTATCAGCAGGCAATTAAAATGGAATTCTCAAGGGCTCTGGGCATCTTGAGGAATGATCTAGCTGTAGGTGGCAACCAAGAAAATCTGAGATCTCACTGTAAGGCCTAGACTAGCAACAGTATCTTTGGCTAGATATCTCAAGGATCTGAGCCAAGGGGCAGGCCCTGAAGTCTTCCTATCACCAACATACCAAATACAGTGCCTAGAAAGTATCCTTTACACTGGGAGGACTGAAATGTTTGTATCAGATCACTGGAAAGGCTGTTCTGTTCCAACCACTGTCCTGCCTCTGCTCACCCTACCTCAAGGGAAAGGCCTTTATCTTTGCCTACCAAACCAAGTGGGAATTGCTGAGGGTTCGATCTACAGTTAAGGGGAGGGGGAGGTAAGGGTTGGGCACCGGTCCTGAGGTCTCACCGACTGATAAATGGCAAGATGCTTTGTCCCTTCAGCGGCTCCATGGTCATTGGCATGGGCTTGGGAGTGGACAGCCAGTAGGAGTAGTCATTTCTGGAGGCAAAGTTGCATACATTGTTGATATTACAGAACATGAAAGGCATGGTGCTGAAGCGGTGGAGGCAGCTGCCCGACGTCCCTAGGGAACAAGACAGGAATGGAGGACAAGGAGGGTGATGGGATGAGACTTCAGTTCCAGTCAAGAGATCCCAGTTCTGCCATAATTATTTCCTGGGTCACCTTGGGCAGGTCACTTCTCTCTGGAGAATTTTCCTCCTCTAATTTAGAGGAAGAAACCAAGAGCCTCTACAATTGGAGGGTTGAACTAGCTAGCCTCTAAGGCCCCTTCCAGATCTAGACTGAGGATCCTATGTGTGACTTTGGGTGAGTTGTTTCATTTCTCTGGGCCTCAGTTTCTCCCTCTGTAAAATAAGGGGCCTCCAAAGTTTCTTCCAACCTTAGGTCTAGGATCCTATGAACTAGATGACTCAGACAATGGGGAAAAAAAGAGAAAGGGGAATAGGAAGAATAGGAGAGGAAGACCAGTGAAAAATGATAGCAGGGCACACTCAGAAGAGGCAAGAAGGAGCAAAGTAGAAGAGGAGGTGACAGAAAGAGAGGGAGAAAAGGGGAATGTGAGGAAAGGATGAACTAACCCCCCCTCCCCTTGCTCTGATCAGCTTCATAAATGGTTGGGGACCACTGGCTGCTGCACACTTGACCTGGGACTTCCATGCCTGGGGCCCATGATGGCTAGGCAAGCCCCATCTGAGGATGAACTCCATTCACTCCCAGGGTAACAATGGGGCTCCTCCCCCTGTAGCGACCACCCACTCCCCAGCCGGGTTCGAGGAACTTTGGAAGTTCACCAGGGGAAAAAAGGGGGCAAGAGAACAATTGGACTGAACTCAAGCCCCCCCCCCCCCATACAGATGGTAGCCCAGCATCCCAAAGTGAATCTGAGGGCCCTAAGCTTCTAAGACAAAATTCCAGAAAGGGCCTCCTGACCTTTTGTTAAGTTATAATATAAACAGATCTCTGACACTTCCTCTCTGCTTTCTAACCCCCTCCCCAACCAAACTGATAGGATAGGGACTCGCTGGGGTAGGAGTGTTCCCAAAGAATGTACTCTATGTAACTATGTAATGTAACTCCTTATGGAGCCTTCAAAGTCTCTGATAACTCCCTGAGAAGTGAATGTGCTTATTTTAAGGATTGTAACATTGGTGCAGTTAGCCCCAAGCCCACTTCCTCTTGCCTGGGAACCCGACTGAAGATCAGACAGACAAGGGGAAAGCCAATGCACCTGTCTGCTCTGTCACCCACCCAAATACCTCCTACAGTTTCTTTTGTGGCTAGCAAAAAGTAAAGGGGCCCTTTCTATACCGTCGCTTGGGGCCTGGCACTTAACCTTAAAAACAAAAATATCAGTAGTGTAAGTTGGAACACGTTGTCACCCTTAAACGGCTTCTCAGTTCTGAAAAACCAACAGGGTGAAACCATGTCTTCATTGGTTAAAGCTACCCTAGATACCTCTTACCCTGACCCCACTGGCTTTCCAGAACCAGAGACAACACAATCAGTCACATGGAAATTGATGAGCAGCTCACCCAAGTCTTGGCCATGGGCCCTCTCATTTCCTTGCACATACAGGAGAGAAAACCCTCTGTAGATCTGTACAGTTCCTCGGGGGCACTGTGGTGTATCTGTGGTCTGGCTATGACGTGTGATGAGAAATCCATGGGCAAGAGAAAGGGTTCCCGGGGGACCTGGTAGCCCTGGCAAGCCATCTGGTCCTGGGGAACCGTCTATTCCACGGCTACCTGGAATTAGAGAATTACTTGTTTGCAAGGGCAGTGGGCCTTAACATTTTTGGTGTCCTGGAGCCCTTGGGTGGTCTGAAGAAGCCATTGGACCCTTTTCAAAATCATGTTTTTAAGTGCATAAAATAAAACACATAGGTTTACCGAGGAAACCAATTCTATTAAAATCAAGATGTAATATTTTCCTCATCCAAGTTCACAGGCCCATTGAAATCTGTCCATGTGGACCTCTACCTTATAGGTATGACTATAGTAAGGGAAATGAGAAAGAACAGTGACAACAATTAAAAACCAGTACCTAGACACTGTGGAATTCCAATGGACAGGACCATTCCAGAGAAGAAATGAGCAAATGTACCTCCCTTCCTTCTTTGCAGAAGTGAGGGACTAATACTGCATCCATTGTCAGACTATAGTCATCCCTTCTACATTGCGACTTTCAATATATTATGGGTTGGCATAAGAAATTACTGTAAATGGGAATTTTGGGAGAGTTTTGTGGAAGCTGCAGATGACACGCAATGGCCAACAGAGAAAAAGTTTAGAAACTTAGAAAATGCATAAAATATGCCTATGACCAAATTCTTAACCCACATTTTACAATAAGGTACTGTAAACACACCATAAAAGAAAAAAATTCAGACTTCTTCTCTGGTACAAAGGGAAAGCCAAAAAATTTCACGTGGATTTTCCAGATGGTGGGGGCACTCCTAACCCCCACGATGTGGAAGAGATAACTGGACAGATATGTGCTGCTTGGTTTTGTCAAATTGGGTTTTCCTCCCTCTTCTTTTTATGTTTTGTTACAAGAAATGGCTTATTGGGTAGAGGAGACGGGAAAGTGATTTTTGGAAATGAAGGCTATGAAAAACAAAAGGGATCAATAAAAAAAATTTAAAAACTGTAGAGATTATTTAGCCAAATTGTACACCTGATGCTACGAATCTTTGGCATTATCCTTTCCACCCCCTCCCCCAGTTAGTATTTAATTTTCCCCCAGTTACATGTGAAAACAATTTTCAACATTTGTTTTTAAAATTTTTAGTTCCAAATTCTCTATCTCTCTCCCCACTCCCTTCATTGAGAAGGCAAGCAATTTGATGTAGGTTATACATGTGTAGTCACGCAAAACATATTTCCATATTAGTCATGTTGTAAAAGAAAACACAGACTAAAAAAAAACAAACAACCCAAGAAATATAAAGTAAAAAAAAAAGTCTGCTCTGATCTGTATTCAGACTCCATCAGTTCTTTCTCTGGGGATGGATAGCATTTTTCATCATAAGTCCCTCAGAACTGTCTTGGATCACAGTATTGCTGAGAATAGCCAAGTCATTCACAATTGATCATCTTACAATATTGCTGTTACTACGTACAACTGGTTCCACTCACTTCTCTCTGTATCAGTTCATATAAGTCTTTCTAGGTTTTTCTGCTTGCTCATCATTTCTTACAGCACAATAGTATTCCATCACAATTTGATCAGCCATTTCCCAACTGATGGGCATCCCCTCAATTTCCAGTTCTTTGCTTTGGCACCATCCTTGAGAGGTATTCATTCATTCACATTGGTTCAATTCTTCTGGGGATGGAGACTTTACTGTCTCCTTGTAATGCTTTACAATCTTTCCATTTAGGAAGAGTGTTATTGAAAAGAATGGGATAGGGCTAGGCCAGGGGTGGGGAACCTGTGACCTTGAGGCTACATGTGGGTGGCCCTCTGCATCCTCAAGTGCAGCCCTTTGACTGAATCCAAACTTCAGAGAACAAATATGTTTGGATTCAGTCAAAGGGCTGCACTTGAGGACCTACAGGGGATTTGTTCCGTGACATTTGGATTTGGTCAAAGGGCCGCACTTGAGGACCTAGAGGGGATTTGTTCTGTGATGTTTGGATTTGGTCAAAGGACCGCACTTGAGGACCTAGAGGGCCACATGTGGCCTCGAGGCTGCAGGTTCCCCATCCCTGGGCTAGACACTGAACTTGGGATCTCATTAGTAGAGGGAATTCCTGGGAAAGGAAATTGCCTCTACCAAAGCAGGTTGACACCCTCTCTACAACTCAGTTGCTGAGGGCACTGAGAGGTTCCAGTGAGTTGCTTAGAGTCACACTGCTAGTAAGTGTCTGAGTGGGGATTTGGACTCAAGTCTTCCCAGCTGCAGAGGCCACCTCTTTATCCACTATGCCATGCTGCCTCTCAAGAACAGAAGCTGAGCTTTATAAACTCCTATATTTCACAAAGTGCTTTATGAACATTATTTCACATTCCTCACATGAGCCCCATAGCACAAACATTATGAGCCCATTTTACAAATGAGGAAATTGAGGCTTAGTAATTTGCCCAAAGGCACACAGCTAGCAAGTGGCAGGGCTGGTTTTTTTCGGTTACCTGACAAAGGTCTCCCAGAACTTGTTAGAAAGGGCTTCCTTAGGGGCAGCTAGGTGGCGCAGTGTATAGAGCACCGGCCCTGAAGTCAGGAGGACCTGAGTTCAAATCCGGCCTCAGACCAAACACTTGACACTTACTAGCTGTGTGACCCTGGGCAAGTCATTTAACCCCAATTGCCTAAAAATAAAAAATAAAATATAAGAAAGGGCTTCCTTGAATATGGCAGAGCAGCAGAATAAATACAGTGAGCTCCCCACCCCCAACTCCTTCAAACACATCTAGAAAATGCACCAGACCAAATCCTGATCAAGAAATCCAAGAAAAGATCCCAATATGTCACTTTCCAGCTCGGGTTGGCATCAAAAGATCCCAATGTGTCATTTTTCCAGCTCAGATTGCCATCAAAAGATCATAACGTGTTATTTTTCCAGCTCGGGTTGGCATCAGGAGTCAAACAGAGATGTCTGTGGACACTGGGATAGGATCTGGCCAGGAGTGCTCTGCGTGGAGAATTCCAGGGCAAGAAGAGGGCCTAGATCAGGCAGAGAGGGGCCTAAGCTTGTGGAGGGAAAAACAACTGGAAGCTTTGTTGTCCACTCTCCAGTTCTGGGTCACACATCCAGGGTGGAATGAGGAGGCCATCTATGCCCAGGGAGAGCATGAATCTAGGGTACAAGTCAGTCCCATGCCCTGGGATATGTATCAAACAACAAACAAGATCAGAAACTAACAGTAGCTGTGTGACTCAGACCCCAGAAATGGAGCAGAGGCTCAGTCCCAGCTTCTAGCCTAGTGTGTAGCCTGCAAAAGAATGACCAGGGCAAGAACCCCAGACCAAAGGGGAGCCCACACTGGCTGAGAGCGGTGGAATCCAATAGCAGTCTACTACAATTCCTAATGGAGCAAGTTCATAGGCCTCTTGCCTGGACCCAAACACAGGCCAGGAATTTGCAGAGCTCAGATGAGAGGGGCAATGATCAGACTTTTCCTTGGATCAGCTCACTTCATGAACCCTGAAAACTTGCCAGTTCCCCAATTGAGCTCTCTCTGAGATCTTAGAATAACACAACACTCAATATCCCAGGAAAACAGTTAGCAGGACTAGGACCAGCCCAGACCTTCCCTCTAGAAATGTTCAGAGTTTGGCTCTAATAATATCAAATCTGAAGTCAGGAAGGAAGCATAAGCAACCAAATCCCACCATACGAAGCTATTATGTTACTAGCGGAGTGACCCTAGGCAAGTCACTTAACCCTGATTGCCTAGCAAAAAGCAAAAAATAAATAAATAAATAAAAATAAAATAAGACGCTATTATTGCAAACAAGCATAGCCCCAGAAAAGAGATATGAGCAGACACACCCACCACACTCCTTTGCAGAGAAGGGAGGTCCACAGGTGTGGTACATTGTGGGTATTTTCTGACTTTCTTGCTGTATGGATGAGTTTTGCTGATTTTTTCCCCTCTCTTTTGTTTTTCTCTAAAAATATTATTTGTTGCTATCCACATCCAAAGAAAGAACTAAGGAGTTTGAATGCAGATTGAAGCAAACTATTTGCTCTTTTTTTTCTTCTGTTTTGTTTTCTCTTTCTTGTGGTTCCTCCTATTGGTTTTAATTCTTCCTTACAACATGGATAACGTGAAAATATGTTTAATAGGAATGTATATGTAGAGCCTATATCAGATTGTATGCCGTTCTTAGGGAGGGAGGGGGAGAAAAATTTAAAACTCAAAAGCTTATGGAAGTGATTGTTGATAAATTAAAATGAACTAATAAAAAAAAGAGAAAAAAATTTAAAAAATAAAAATATTATTTGTTCTATGGGATGACCCTTTGGGATGGGGGAAGGACACTGAGGGAAACTATGGTGATGTAAAAAAAAAAAGCCATTAATAAAAATTATTTTTTTTAAAAGAAAATGCCTCTTCCAGTTGGATTTTGTTTAAGAAACCCTCCATGCTATGGCAGCTCTGACTGTGGAAAGCACGTGTCTCTTCCATTTCTTTGGCATAGTTGATATGAATGATCAAGGGATCCCTTTTTTTCCCCATCTCACATTCCTCCATTTTTCTACAACATCTCTATTGTTCTTCTCTTGCCCTTTCACCTTTTGTCGTTGTTCAGCTGCTCAGTCGTGTCTGACTCTTTGTGACCCCATGGGCCGTAGCACACCAGGCCCTTCTATCCTCCACTATCTCCCGAAGTCTGTCCAAACTCATGTTATCGATTCCATGACACTATCTACCCATCTCATCCTTTTCACCCTATTTCCCTATTATTCTCCTCAAACCTATCAAGGAATTGTGCATGCATGTGCGTGAGTGCATATGTGGAACTGCGTGTGCGTATGTGTACGCATTGTAGTTGAGCTTGGAGCCAGTAAGCCCTGGGTTTGAGTCCTGCCTCTGACACATACTGACTGTGTGACCCTGGCCAAGTCACTTAACCTCTCAGTACATGCAGCCCACAACACTTCTGGGTGTTGTCCAAAACACATTCAAATGCCATTGGGAAATATTAAATAAATCCAGATACGATAAAACATAGATAACATAAGAGTTTAAAATTAAGTCAGTCTGTGGCCCCCAGACATCCTCATGTACAATTTAGTGGCCTCAACATGTCTCTATTTGTTTGACACCACTGACCTAGGGAACATTCTAAGATTTGACATTGTAGAGGAGGTATCAATCTGTATTGGTAGACAGTTTCCTCATCTAAGACTTCCCCATATCAGTAAAATCCCATGTCCAGAACCTATCTAGAATCTAGAATCTATGTAATATGACATCACATATGTATACACATCACATGTGTCATATAAACACATGTGTGTAAATGTATGCATGCAATGCACTATAGTGTATATGATATGTTGGCAGAGATCTAACTTGAAAGCTGTGTTTCATTCTGCTGGATTAAAGGATCAATCACCCAAGGAAAAAAACCAAAGAGAGCTGCAGCAGTAACCCCATGGATGTGGTGCTTTTCCCAGAGCCCAGAAGCCTGGCTCCTTCCATCAGGGGCCCATCCCAACAAACCCCTCCACCATCACCAGCTTCAAGTCAAGCCAAGCCAAGAATCATTCGTTAAGTATCTACTGTGTGCCTGGCACTGTCTTTAAGGGCTAGAGTGGAAGAAGGTGGCAGATGGGCAGGCCTGAGGACCACTTCACATTTATACAGATGTGACTTGTCATCCTCCAAGCTTTGTCACTACGGGGCCATCTTCCAAGTGATAGGCCTTCCTGGACTTAGCTAGCCTCGGTCCTAAACAGCAGGCCCAGTTTACTGTTGGGCTTGGCCTTGGACTTTCCCTCTTGGTGGAGGCTGCCTGCTCTTGTGGCCAGCAGGTGAGGCTTCGGCTGAACTCAGGGCCACTTTCACAACAGGAGCTGTCAGAAGAAGAGGGCTTGGGTTGGGGAGGGGGCAGGACAAGCCCCTTAGTTCATATATCTTGGAAAGATGCTCAGATGGATGGTGAACCAGAGGCATAACCAGAGAGGAAGAGAAGTAGGCCAGATTCCAGCGTGCAGCCCTTTCCATCATCCCAAACTGACATCAAACCCCATCTTTTTGACAGTGAGATTCTCCCAGGGATGCTGTATCCTGGCAGTCATGGAAAAAGATGATTACTGAAGAACCGAAATTGTAGGTGACCCAAAGGCAATGGTAAAACATACTGGGTGTAGGTAGAGGCTGAAACATATCACAAAAGATGACTTGTGGGAAAGAGGTGCTATGGATGACACCATTAAGGTCATCAGAAAAGAAGGTGGATTGGGCCCATATTGATGAAATATGTTGAAACCAAAAAGAAGACTTGTAGACCGATAGACCCTCTTGGGAAGATCTGCAGTTGGTTATGGGCAACAATCAGGTAGGATTAGGAGGGGTAGACCGGTATAAACTCCTAGGCTGCTGCCCACACTGCTCAGTAAAATAGCACCTCTACTCTGATGATCCTACTGGAGGAGCAGAGAAATGATGACATGGCTACTCACTTCAACACACCATTTTCAATGCTAAGTCACACTTTCCTTATTAGTTCTGTGGCCTTGGGCAAGTCACTTAACCTCTTGGTGACTCAGTTTCCTCCTCTGGGAAAAGAGGGGATGGGACTCAATGGCCTTTGAGGTCCCTTCTAGCACAGAAAACTAAGATCTCAGGCTCCTCCATGCACCTGTCCTTTCTTCCTCTCAGTGGTCAGTTCTGCTAACCATAGCCTAAAGCCTTGATTTATTCCATAGGAAAGGGAACATGTGAGCCATGGTGGTTGCCAGACAGTTTCAGTGCTAAGTCACCTTTTCATCTCTGTCTTTGGGGTTCTGTTCAGGGTAGCTGGCTATCTAAGGACAGTGCATGGAATGAGGAGTCTGTAATAAGAGTATGTTTCGATAATGGCTCTTTTCAATCTGCCTTAAGTGGGCTTAGCCTTGTGAGTGGGACTGCTTTTCATTCCCTCTGCATGTGGCTTTCATAATCACTATGGAAGCTTCGAAATAATGCCTGGCTTCTTCCCCTATCTTGGGCAAGGTACTTCCTGTCTTTGAATCTCATTCATGGTTCCTGAAGTAGAGGGAGAAATGGTCTGGAGCACCTCCCACAGCTCTGCCTTGATTCCAACAATGTTTCTGCTGGTACCAACCTTCCGTGTTTATATGCCACATGCCTGGTGGGAAGCAGGAGGGCATAGTGAAAAGAGTGCTGCTTTTAGAGTCTGAGGACCCAGATTTCAATACCTGCTCTACTATTCCGTATCTGTAATGCCACTGGCTGAGTCACTTGATGATTCTAGACCTCAGTTTCCCCGGGTGTAAAATGAAGGAATTGAAATAGATGACTTCCAAGGTCTATCCCAGTTCTAAATCTATGATTCTTTGATCTATGATCAGCAACAGCAAAAATAAAAAATACATGAGTCATCTTTGCAAAGCAAACAATGCCCCTTCCCTGCTTCCCCACTGCTACCCCATGGAGCAACCATCTTTAATAGCATTAGCTGGTTACAACCAGAAATGGACAATGATATTCAGGGGTTCCCATTTAGGTGAGCAAGGGGCCAATTTGCATATGGGATCCCTTCTCTCCAAGGGCAGAAGTATGCTTCCTGCTATCTTCCAAAGCAGTCACACAATGGATACTGGATATAAAACTCTCTCTTGGCCCCCTTTTCCCACCTGGTTGACCTGATGGGCCTGGGTCTCCTTTGTGGCCTTCTGGGCCATTAACACCAAGGCGTCCATTACGTCCAGGGTCTCCTGGTGGGCCAGTTAGACCTACAGAGAAAAGAAACATGCTGTGCAATGTGCGCAGAGAGACACTGAGGCAAACCCAAGGGACTGTGGGGATCCCATACTGACAGGCTTTGTAGGAATATCATCTCAATTCCATCTTAATGAAAGGGCTGGCACATTCTGGTTAGCTGAGGGCAAGAATTGGGGTGAGGGGAGCCATTGCTAAGTTCTAACCATTTTATCTATACCTGGGGAAATTTGGTAACATTGGCTTTTCTTGTTTTCAGTTCCAGAAACTTGTCCATCTCAACAAATAATTACCCCCCCCCAAAAAAAAAGAACATAAGTTCCTCGAAGGCAGAGATAGCTTTGGTCTTCATATCCTCAGCTCATGGTTGGTGTTGGCTGGACCCAAATGAGGAAACTTCCCATAACTTCTCTCCAACTAAGAGCCACCTAGGGATGTTGAGAGCAGGGTAGATGACTTCCCCAGGGTCATATAGTCAAATGTATCCGAACTAGGCCTTAAATCCAGCTCTTATTGGCTCCGAGGCCAATCCACTCTATCCACTATGTCTCACTGTCTTTCTCGGCCTTGTACACAGTAGGTGCTTAAGAAATACTTTCTAAATTGTAAAAAAAAAAAAAGGCAGCATAGTCTAGTGGGAAAATGCTGGATTTGAGGGCAAAAGAACCAGATTTGAGGCTTGCCTCTGACGTTTCCTGTCTGGGGGATAACTCTGGACAAGTCAATTCACCTCTAGGGGTCTCAGTTTTCTCCTCTGTAAAAATGAGGGGGGACATTGTTGACCTCTAGAGACCCTTCCAGTTCTGGGGGTCTCTGTCTCCCATGAAGCTTCCAGCAATATGAAACAACTGTAGCCCAGTCACTGAATAATCAGGAAATACTGTAGCCAGTTGGGACATGAGTTCATGTGCAGGGTTGGCCAGATACCTTCCCACTGGGTAGCCAGGGAGTTAGGCTAAACAGTGAAGGCCTGAGGCTTTCCCTATAGAGAGGGAGCTCAGGTTTAGGGTAGAGGGAGCTGGAAGAAAAACATCAACCCTGAAATTTGCCTCTTTCTACTCCTAAGGTAGCAACAAGGCCACTCTACTAACTTTTCTAAATCAGCATGGGTAAAGGGACCAAAAGGAATTGGGTGACGGAGATGCAAGACACCTTTCCTTCTGACAACATTGGACTTATATAACACTTTAGGATGCTGAGGCTCTAGGCCTTGTGTGTGGGGGGTGGGGGAAACTTAGGGAGGCACTTCCATGCAGGGAACACTCATTAAGGTAGCCGATCAAGACAAATTAGCCTAGAACATGCTCAACAGAGCTCTGTAGAAAGGTACCTGGCAAACCTTGGGGTCCTGGGATCCCTGGGAGACCTTTTAATCCTGGCTGGCCTGGTGGTCCTGGAGGTCCAATATCTCCTTTGACTATGAGATCCTGCTCAGAGGGTCCAGGAAAGCCAGGGGGACCTGAGAAGCAAAACACAGTTTGAAAGTAGTTGGGAAAGCTCTTTTTGTGGTGGTGAAGAATTGGAAACCGAGGAAATGTTCTTCAATTAGGGAATGGGTGAATAAGTTGTTGTATATGATTGTGATGGAATATTATTGTACTATAAGAAATGACAAGTAGAATGCTCTCAGAAAAACCTGGAAAGACTTACATGAACAAAGTGAACTGAGATTAGCAGAATCGGGAGAGAACATTGTACATAATAACAGCAATATTATATGATGATCAGCTGCAAATGACTTAGCTACTCTCAGCAATACAATGATCCAATATAATTCCAAAGGATCCATGATGAAAAATGCTATCCATCTCCAGAGAAAGAATTGATGGGGTCTGAATGCAGATCGAGGCAAACTTTTTCACTTTATTTTTCTTGTGCTTTTCTTTTGGTTTGTGTTTTCTCTTCCAACATGACTAATATGGAAATATGTTTTGCATGATTGCACACGTATAACCTATATCAAATTGCTTACTGTCTCAGGGAGGGGACAGGGGAAGAAGGGAGAGAATTTGGAATTCAAAAATTTTTTAAAATATTTTTTTGAAATAGTATTTTATTTTTCCCCAATTATGTGTCAAGAAAATTTTTAGCATTCATTTTTACAAGATTTTGAGTTCCATATTTTTCTCCCTCCTTCCCTCCCCTCCCCTCTTCTGAAAATGGTAGGCAGTTTGATATAGTTTATGCATGTGCTATCATGTAAAACATATTTCCATATTCATCACAGTTGTGAAAGAAGAAACAGATCAAAAGGAAAAAAAAACCACAGGAAAGAATAAAGTAAGTGGAAAAAAAACATATGCTTCGATCTGCATTCAGAGTCCATCAGTTCTTTATCTGGCTATGGATAGCATTTTCCTTCCTGAATCCTTTGTACTTGTCTTGGATCATTGTGTGATCATTGTGAGAAGAGCTGAGTCATTCATAGTTGATCATCACACAATGTTGCCAATATTGTGTACAATGTTTTCCCGGTTTTGCTCATCTAAAAAAAAATGTTAAAAATTGTTTTTACATGTAATTGGAAAAAAATATTTAAAAAACAAAGTAGTTGGGAAGGTTTGAAGAGATGGGGAGGGTGGCAGGAAAGCCCAGTATCACTAGAGGCCATGGAAAGGACAATGGGCAGAGAGCTGTGAGATGTGGGGCCAGGTCTCCAAGCTACCAATTCTGAGAATCCTAGAATTTCCCAAGTAGAAGGGACCTTGGTTTAAACCTCTAATCTAAGCCATTCCTCCAAAGAAATGCCTCACAAGTGGTCATTCAGCTTTTGCTTACAGAAATTCAATGAGGAGGAACCCACTACCTCCCAAGGTCGCCTCATTCATGGGGGGCTGCTCTAATTACTTGGAAGTCTTTCCTGTCATCGAGTCTCTTTCCAATGTGTTCCCACTGCTCCCATTTCTGTCCTCTGGGCCATAGTAGAACAACGTAACCTCTCTGGGCCTCAGTTTCCTCATCTGTAGTCCCCTTTTGACCCTTCTAGTTATATATTTAGGAGCCTATAACTTGAATTTTTCTTCTATAACAGCCTTACAAACACTTAAAGCTGGCTACTGTGTGGGCCTGCTCATCCCTGGGCTAAAATCTCAGCTGCTGGCTCACCCTGGAACTTCCCACAGAGCTCAGGGCCTCTTCATCCTGGGAACATTCTTCTACCTGCTGTGTCTGCCCCCTTCTCTCATTCATCCATTTTGGGAAGGGACCCAGGCCAGCCAACCTTCATTTCCCTCCAGGCTCAGCTTCTGACTTTGTGGCCTTGGGTACCACGCCCTTGTGTGTGTCCCTTCCCCTGTCCCCTCCCCCTTTTGTTTGCATGTTGTCTCCCCCTATCAGATTCTGAGCCCCTTAAGGACAGAGATTGTCTTTCTTTTTGCTTATGTGCCCATCACCTTGCCTGAAGATCCCCAGTTTCTTCAGCTGATCTTATGTAGCGTGGCCTCGAGGAGTGTCACCATCCTGACTGAACTCCTCTGCACATGCTATAGCTTCTCAATGTTCCTTCTAAAACATGGCCTCCAGAACTGAACACAAGGCTCCACGTACCACCTATAGGGTGGGACCATCCTTTCCTCATTTCTGGAAGCTCTTCCCCTCTTTAATGAAGTCCAAGATGGCATTTGTTTTTTGGTCCCCACATCACACTCCTGACTCATAGGGAGCATGTGGTCCACTATGATTCCATAGATCTTTTTCAAATGAACTCCTCCCCCATCTGGTACTCGTAAAGCTTGTTTTTAAAAACCTAAGTATCAGACTCTCCAATGACCTCTATTGAATTTCATCTGATTAGATTCAAGCCAATGTTCAAGGATGTTGAGATCTTTGTGAATCCTGACTCTTTCATCCTTTGTGTTAGTTCATCCTCCTAGCTTTGGAACACTGGCAAATGTGATGAAAGATATTCTTGATGTCTGTATCCAAGTCACTGCTAAAAGTGTTAAGCCGCACAGAGGCAAGTATAGATCGCTGGGGCACTCCACGGAAGACCTTCAGAGCTAACATCAGACCATTAGTGATGCACATCCCTTGCCATCTTTGCCACGAGAAGAGCATAAGAAACTTTTATCAAATGCTTGGCTGAAATTTCGATAAAAAATATGGACAACATTCTTCTGATTGTGAGAGTCTAGTAACCCTGGCAAGAGAGGAAACCAGCTTGGTCCGGTATGACCTCCTCTCACTGAGCCCACACTAGCTCACTCACTTGTTCGCTCTTTGGGGCGGCAGCTTCCTTTTCACTAAGTCCCCCTTATTCTCACGGCCTAGAATTTTCCCAGGAATCAAAGTCAAGCATGCTAGCCTCTAGTCTTCAGTCTCTATGCTTCCCCCCTCCCCTTGACCCCATTTCTTTTGGACAATTGGGCTGTTTGACCTTCTCCAGACCCCGGGTACCTCTCCTATTAACTGTGATCTTTCTTTTTTAATTAAATTTAATTTTTTTCAATTAACAAAAATCCATTTTCTTTCCCTTCTACCTCCCCCTGCCCCATTGAAGAAAGAGAAAAACAAAACCCTTGTAACAAGTATGCATAGTCTCACCATGAGCTTTCAGGGAGTCCTGACAATGGTTCAGCAGCCACACTTGCCAATTTCACATGACCTTGAACCAGGCCTTCAGTTCCCTCCCCTATTCAACAAGGGCTCCGGTGGAGGTGATTTCTAAGAGCCTTCTGGCTCGATTAGTCCAGGATGCAGGGTGGTGTGAGGCAGTTCAATGTCCCGGCCTGTTGCCAGGGCCAACTGAAATTTGCTGATTAACTTTTAGTCTTCTCCCTCCCCCTCTGCCTGAGACAGGAGAGCTGTGGAGTCAGCTTGCTGGGAAGGCAGAGAGATGTGAAAAATTGATCTCAGGGCCATTCCTAGGGAATCACTGGGGGAGTCAGGGAAGGAAGATGATCAAGGCCACACCCTCCCTAATTTCCAACGGTATGGTTCAGTCCGTTCCTATTCTTGGCAGCCTGTTATATTCTTAAAGACTAGCCTCTGGGGAAGGGGATTCTCCTTGGAAAAACACACTCTGTTCTCAAGCATTGGCAGTTATTGCTTCAGGGTGCTTTGTGAATGAGCCACTTGAAACAGGACTGGGAACTGGGAACCAGTGGGGACAGTTAGAACAGAAACTAAGCAAGAGTGTTCCTGCAGCTTGGGGTCAGCATTAAAAGCCCATAGGTTCAGCCCAACTTGGGCAGGATGGTTTGTGGGGTAGAGACAAAGGACAGTGAGGTGGCCAGGAGCCAAAGAGAGTGAAGGTGGCTATTAGGGAAGACAAAGAGGAGAGGGGGAAAGCAGGAGAGAGAGGGAGGGAGGGAGGGAGGGAGGGAGAGAGAAAGCAGGAGGGAGGGAGGGAGAGAATGGGGGAGGGAGACAGGGAAAGAGAGAGAAGGAGAGAGAGAAAGAAAGGGAGAGAGGGGGAAGGAGAGGAAGAGAGAGCAAAAGCTAAAGGGAGGGAGGGAGCTGGGAGAGAGGAAGAGAGAGGGAGGGGGCAGGAGAGAGGCTGAGAGGAAGAGCAGGAGAGAGAGGGAGAAAAAGTGGGGAGGACGAGAGGGAAGCAGAGAGGGAGAGAGAAAAAGAGAGAGAGGAAGGGGACAGAGAATACTTTAAGAAAATTTGCTTAGACCTATGGCCCCTTTCTCAGCATTGCAGAGGTGGGGGGGAGGCAGTGAGAGGAAAGAGGAAAGGTATGAGAGCTTGTGTATGGGTCAGAAATGAACTGAAAATAGTGGAGGCGAAGGTTGAGAGGAGGGTCTAATTTTGGATGAGGAGGGGTGAGTTTAGCTTGGAGGAGAAGTTCAGGGTTGGGATGAAATGGCCAGGTCCTAGCTGTTATCCCCCTGAATCCCCCTGGGCCAGGCTTGCAGCCACAGCTGAGGTCCACTGAGCTGCCCCACCCCTCCCCAGATCCACAACCCACCCTGCTGACCATGCTCCTTTGTAGAGCACAGGGAGCCGCTGGAGGATGGATGGTCTCTGGGATCAGGGCCTCTAGAATGGCCCATGGGCCTGCAGGGCTAAAGGTCTTGAAACAAAACTGAGGGAGGTCCCAGTGGAAGGCCTGGCCTTCAGGGGCTCCCTGAGGGGGTATGTGCCCACCCTGGGGAGCAGATTTCCCTCAGGGTATCCAGAGTCTCCCCAGAGAAGACTGAAAGAGGTGCTAGGCCCCGTGGCATGCTGCCAGTGAGGGCTGCTTGCAGGCCTGAGCAACTAAAATAGAAGAGGCACGTATGGGGGAGCCTAGGGAAAGTCTGAATGAAATAAAGATACTGGGGAGGAACTGAAAGGGAAGAATCAGTGACTCAACAAACACTTAGCATGTGGCAGGCATCGTGCTAAGCACTGGGGATGCAAAGAAAGGCCAAAATGTAGTTGGCCCCTGCCCTCAACGAGCTTCCTGTCTAATGAGGGAAATAGCATGTAAGTAAATGGGTACAGAGTGAGTAGATCAAGTGATGTTGGAAGGCAGGGGGAAGGGGGATGGGGAAAGGGCTTTTGCAGAAGGTGATGTTAGAGCTAGGAATTCCTTCCAAGAGGCAGGAGGTGAGGAGGGAGGGCATTCCAGGGGTGGGGAACACGTATGTGCAAAAGCATGGAGACGGGGGACAAGCAGGACCCAAGGGTGCATGGCTGGGAGTAAAGTGCGGAAAGACTGGAAAGGTAGGAAGGGACCAGCTTGGGAAGGGTTTTAAATACCAAACAGATGATTTTGCATTTGATCATGTAGGTAATAGGGAGCCACTGGAGTTAATGGAGCAAGAATGACCTGGTGAGAGACCTACTCTGGGACAATAAAGTGGAGGATGAACTGGAATGGGGTCAAGGAGAATATAACAGAATTATATTATAGACATAATGATTATAATATGATCTCTGTATGAGATATGATTTTATCTAATAAACTGCAGAGTCGAGAGTAGTGGCTGAAGCTTGTGAACATCTCCCCCAGTGGGAGCGTACTGCACAGAGAGCTGGGCCTGGAGTCAGGAAGACCCAAGTTCACATCTGGCCTCAGATAACTGTGGGACCCTGGGCAAGTCACTTCACCTCAGTTTCCTCATCTGAAAATGGGGATAATAACAGCACCTACCTCCCAGGGTTGTTGTGAGGATCAAATGAGATATCTGTAAAGGACTTGTCACACAGTAGGTGCTATATCAATGCTTATTCCATTCTCTTCCTCCTGTAGCCCTTATGTTGCATTTATCTGAAAAGACCTGCTATTAAAACAGCATTCATCCATATCAGCCCAGGTGGGTCTAGGGGGATTTGAGGGAAAGAAGGAACCTAGACTTGGCTCAGTAGCTGAGGGCTTAGCGGGTCGAAGGGATACTGATGTCATATTCTCATAGGATCAGAGCATCCCGGAGCTTAGAGGTCAAAGAGGCCAACTCTCTCTTTTGTCAGAGGAGGAAACTGAGGCTCAGAAAGAGAAAGGACTTGCCCAAGGTCACACATAGGACCACAGATCTGGAGTTGGAAGAAACCTTAGAGGCCATTGAGTCCAAAACCCTCTTTTTACAGAGAAGTAAACTGAGGCCCCGGAGGTAAAGTGACTCATCTAAGGTCACACCACTAGCATGTGTAAGGTAAGATTCGAATTCAGGTCTTCCAGACTCCAAGTACAGTGCTCTGCCCACTGTGCCACTTAGGGGGTGCCTAGCTGATAGAAGCTCCAAATGCTATAACCAATTCACACACAGCAAATAATTGCTTTTAGAGACCCAAGCGATGAATGGAGTCTTACCTGAAGGACCTCTAGGGCCTGGATCCCCTGCAGGGCCAGCTGAACCAGGAGCACCAGTAGGTCCTTTCATCCCTGTAAGGCAAACCGTCACAACCTCAGTGAAAATGCAGGCCCACATCTCCCCCAAGCAACCAGCAATGGGTTGCTGGGGTCTCTGAAGATCTGAATTGGCACCATTAGTAACCAGAAGGTGGTTCAAAAACTATTCCTTGAAATACCTTGGAATCCTGGGATACCTTGGATGCCAGGATTTCCCTTCATTCCAATGCGCCCTGGCCGCCCAGGATCACCCTGAAAAAAGAAAGCTCTCTTAGCCATGTGAGTAGATGGGGGGGGGGGTTTTGGAAGAAATGGTAGCAAGCATTCACTAAAATGGATGGGGCACAGGAAGTCAGGACGTTCTGGATTTGAATCTTGCCTCTAACACTTAACTATGTGACTAAACTTCTCTAATTCTCAGTGTCCTCTTCTGTAAAATGGGAATGATACCTGTCATGTGCAAATTACAAGGGCTGCTGAGGTTCCAATGAGATGATGTTTGTAAATCAATCAATCAGTAAGTGAGCCAGCAAACATTTATTATGCTATACAAGCTTTGTACTCAAAGTTCCATGAGGGGTCTTTGGCATTCCAGAGTTCCATTGACCCCTTTTATTAATTATCCACTAGCAATGTTTAATAAAATGATTAATTACCCAGAAAAAACCCATTTATTATGCTATGTCACAGAGTTGGAGGTAGAAGGGATCTCAGGGACCATCTAGTCCTTTATGGAGGAGGAAACTGGGGTTCCAGGGAAGTGACTTGCTCAAGGTCACACAAGCAGAGAGTGGCAGAAACCAGATTGAACCCCAGATCCTATGACTCCAAAGTCAGGGATATGAAGACATAAATGAAACATTCCTATTGGGAGGGGATGCACAATGAAAATCTTAAAACGCCATATAAATGTCATCCATTATTGTGTTCCACAAGAAATATTAACATATAGTGGAAAGACTGTAGGACTTGGGGGCAGAAGACCAAGGTTCTACTCCCAACTCTCAAACTCTCCATCTACTGGACTCTGAATGGGTTCTTTCACCCCTCTGAGCCTCATCTGTATGATGGGTATGACACTTTATGTACTACCCTCCCTTTCATCTGCCTTTTGTGGGGGAAGTGCCCTGGAAACATTAGTGTGTTACCAAAAAATGGAGTACCAAATTGACTGATTAATTTCTATATACTATATCATTTGGGCAACCCTTTAAGCACCACCTACTTTCTTGAGAAATCTAGTGACTCAGCCACCTGAGGTCTGGGTGCTCCAACATGAATTGGAGAGGCAGAAGAAACAGATGAAATGTTGTCCAACCTCCAGGGATTTTACTGTTACTTTTTTTTCCAGGCCACTGAGTTAATCATTTCAATAAACCTAATTTTTTTCTTCCATTTGGAAATTCCATGTGCTTTTCCCGTAGCCTAATTCACATCCATGTGCTCAGGATATGGGGATTATTGTTAGGATCATTTCCTTACAATTCCTCACCCAGCCTCTGGTATAGGGGACCCATATTGAGAATCACTGTCATGAAAGGAAGTGACGTGGAACATAGGATCCCATTTGAAAAATGTTTTTATTGATGGTCTTTATTTTCACACCACTGGAGCCGAGATCTATGTTCCACACCCATAGTCCTCTCCAACAAAAGTAAGGAAATGCATGTTCTTGAGGTCCAACTCCATTTTGCACATGAAGAAACAGTCCCAGAAAGGGTAAGTGACTGCTCACACAGCTAGGAAATATCTGAGGCAGGACTGTGAACGCAGGGTTTTCTGACTCCAAGTCCACTGCCCATGCTGCCTCACGGTGATTATAATTACATGGCGTTTAGTTTGCTATTACTCTTCTTTCCATTTCTATTCTAGTTGTAGATATTGTTTCCTTGGTTTGACTAATTTCATTCTGCATCAGTCTATTTCATCTCATGCTTCTCTGAATTCTTCATATTCACCATTAGGAATAGTAACTTTGCTTTGATAGTTCATGTGTTCTTTCAAAGTTACTTTCTTTTGCTTCTATTCTGTCCAATTTTCTTCCACTTCTATTTTTTTTTGGGGGGGGTTCCAAATCTCTCATTCTTTTTTTCAGAAGCCTTAATTCTCTGGAGAGATTCTCAATCACATGTTCCAAAATATCTACTCTGTTGTTCCTCATTAACTCTGCTTTGAGAATTATTTTCCAATGCAATTTCCATCCTGGTATAATTTTTCAAAAATGTGTTTAAACGTTGAACTATTCTTGCATTGTTTGCTAAGCTCTATGTCTGCCATGTACTCTGCAGAGCACATAGAATCCTTTGGGTTTTTTTCCCCCAATGAGAATTTTTGGTTAATTTTCTTTCATAGTATAATACTTGTTCAATACATTATGGCCCTTTTGGAATCATATCTCTATTTTCCTTCTGTGGTCATGAGCCTCACTTTTGCTCTTCCTGCTTATAATCTATACTTTTTTCTTGGACTTTATACATTTGTACCTTTTTTCTTACATGCTCAGTGGCTTGTCTCTGACTTTCCTCTTTATTTGGCTCCTCCTTCCACTACTGCGCAGACCACCCCTCCCCCTGCATGGCTCCTTCGGTTGGGAAGTATGGGGACCCTAATGGGTCCTTGCCCAGAGTAAGCTTTGTATAGAGAAGACTGACTCCATTTGGGTTTCTAGTTCCCCTTTCCATTAGGAACAAAAGGCCATTCTCCTCTAGCCAGCTCAGTGATGCCATGATTCCTCTTCTCCTCTCCCCTCCATACAGATATATTCCACAGCTGGGCAGAATCAATGTCTTCCAAGTCTTATGGTGAGGAGGGAAGTCCGACCGAGTCACTGGGACCAAGAAACGCTGGGCAGAGGCTATGTCATAGCGCATAGCCAACGTTTCTTCCTCTACTGGTGCCCGACACATGGGGTGGAAAGAGTGAGTGGTATCTGGAAGTAGTTAAGCTCTCTGAAGTTATTTCAGGAGGCTTGTACCTTTTGGGGTGTTTCTGTCTCCTTACAGATTCAGTGTTAGTTACTCTCAGTTGGGTGCATCTGTATTTCCTTTGAGATTGTTAAGTTGGAGCTATATGTGGAAAATGACTACACTACCAGCTTGCTAATCATGTGATTGTAAATCGACTGTCCATTGAGAGCACATCAGAAAGAAGGATGTGTTTCATTGGCTCCAAGAGCAAACTCTAGTTCCAACTGTCTCAGCACTATTGGTAGCCAGCATCTACCTATGTGCCAAGGAATAAAGCTCTCAAGTTTATTGAACTGAATTTAGTTCAGAGTTTCTCAAAGTGGAATTTTGACAGCAATAATCCATCATGTGGGGCTAATCAAGGCAGGCTTCCTCGAGATGAGATGAAAGCAAGAGATGAAGAACACGGATTGGTAGAGAGAACCGGGGAGGACATTTTGGGTGGGCAGACGAGGCAGAGGCATTCCTGTCTAGGAATAAGAAAAATGTTTATGGGAGATGGCATCCAGCCTAGCTTGGCTGGGGCAGAGAAACTGTGTAAGGGAAAAAAGAAAATGAAGGTTGGGGAGTTAAGAGATAAGACAGGAAGCATTTGGTAAAGGGCCTCTAATACCAGGCTAACGCGCTGGGATAGGATGCCACAAGCAATAGGAACCTGCCTGAAAGTCTTGAGCAGGGATGTTCCATGAGGCCAGATGAACAGCCAGCTCTAGGACAGATTGGAAGAAGGAGAGACTGAAGAGAGGGGCAAGGCACTTTGCAGTTCCCTGGGAGAGCCCACCAGGGCTTGTAATGTACTGAAGAGAAAGTGGCTGGAGGCAGCAAGATCAATTACAAGGCTGTTACAGTAGTCAAGGTGATAAGGGTGTCGACCACAGTGGCAACTACAGAAACAGAAAGGAAGGAGGGAGATCTGAGACACACACTTGTTTGTTTGCTTGTTTTGGGGGAGGGGGGTGGATACGGCCTAGGATCTCACTGAGATAAGGAAACTCCTTCTGCCAATGCAGATATGCACTTGCTCTGCAACTTAGATTCTTAAGAGATGTGCCTGACGGTCCCTAGAGATTAAAGTCTTGTCCAGGATGGCCCAGCTAGAACAGGCCAGGGGTGGGACTTGAACCCAGGTCCTCCTGGCTCTGAGGCTGCCCAGTCTCTAGCCATTACAACACACTGCCCCTCCTGAGAGATACTGCAGAGGGAAAAAATCAATAAAGAGAACAGAGCCTTACATAGAGAGCAGGAGTGTCGGGGAATGCCAATTGTTCAGAGGCACCTGCAAGAGGGAACAGCAGGGCTGAGGCCTGTGGGGAGAAGCTGGGGAAGAGGAGGCGCCTGGTGGCCCCAAGCTCCTCGGGAATGTCCATCGGGAGCTTGACAAGCCTCAATCTTGTGGAGTGTGTATGTGTGTGTATGCATGCATGTGTAGATGTCTATTGTGCATGTGTGCATGTATGTGTATTGCGCAATGTATTATATGCATGCATAAGTGTGTGTGTACATGTATATGTCTATTGTGCATGCATGCATCTGTGTATGTATGTATATGTATGTGTGCCTCTTGAACATGCATATTCATGTAGCATATTATTGTGCATGCATATATATGTATATGTGTGTTATATACACCTGCATGTGTATTGTGCATGCATGTACATGCTTATCATGTATGTGTGTATGCATTATTGTATTATGCGTGTGTGTATGTGTGTGCATGTATTTGTAGGCATGTGTGTACATGCACATTATATATGTGCTGCACATGTATATGTATCATGTTGCACTGTACTGTGCACACATGCATACGTGCATTATATATGTGTGTATGTGTATGTATCTGCACATTGTGCTATATATGTGGATATGTGTGTATGTATTGTGTATGTGTGCATGTGTGTATATATGTATATTGTGTATATGTGCATGAGTACTGTGCATGTGTATGGATATTGTGGGCATGTGTATACATGTATATGTGTATATAACATATATAGATGCATGTATTATATATGAATAGTTATGTGTATGCATATATGTATGCACCACATAAGTATATTGCATGTGTGTGTTGTTCATGGATCTGTCCATCTACGTATATGTGTATATATATGTGCATATATGTATATCAGAGGCAACTGGTGGCTTGGTGGATAGAGTACCAGATCTGGAGTCAGGAAGACCTGAGTTCAAATCCACTCTCAGACACTTATTAGCTCAATGACCCTGGACAGGTCACTTCACCTGTTTGCCTCAGGCTGCTCAACTGTAAAATGGGGATGGCAGCCCCTCCCTCCCAAGGTTGTTGTAAAGCTCAAATGAGATAATAACTGGAAAGAGTAGGTGCTATAGAAATGTTAGCTATTATTATTATTATCATTAGTGTTCATGTGTTTGTATACGTGTATATGTGGGTATGTGTGCATATGTGGGTACATGTATATATGCATCTGTATATGTGTGTCCACGTGTTTGCATATACTTGTGTGTATATGTGTGAGTGAGTGTTTTGGGGGGTGTCTGTGTCTGTCATGACGGCCTGACGTAAGGGTTGGCTCCTCAAACACAAGCCAGCAGGTTTTATCGTTCTAGCTATGCACAGTATGTGGGCTGGGCAGGGTGAGGGGGAGCCAGACATATTTATCCAGCATATTAAATTAAAACTTGTCTATTAAATGTTGAAGGAGCTGCTGGACAGAGCCTGGCTGGGTCCTCTCCAAACTAGAGAATGCTCTTTTATCCTGCAAGCAATGGGGAGCCATTGGAAGTGTTTGAGTAGGGGCATGCCTATATTTTAGAGATTAATCGAATGGGGTTGCATTGAGCAAATTCCAGAAAAAGACTAGATAAAAAATGTCAAACAGTACAGGGCCAAGCACAGAGACTTAAGCTACACACTGAAGACCTTCTTCCAAAGTGACATCATAGAATCACAGATCTAGAGCCAGAGGGGCCCCCAGTTTCCACCCAATCTAATCCTCATTTTTACAGATGGGGAAACTGAGGCCCAGGGGGGTAAAGTGACTTGCACAAGGTCACACATAGGATCCTAGATCTAGAGGTAGAAGAGACCTCATCTACACATGAGGTAGGCTGGCGTCAAGTCACAGTGAGTACTGAACACTAGATTACAGTGTTGATATTTTCTGCTGTAAGCAATAGGGAGCCACTGAAGGGACTGGAGCAGGACTGTGCCTTAGGGAGACTGATCTAGTGGTGGTGTTTACCAGGAGACCAACTAAGAGTATTAGAACAGTTCAGCTCAGCGTTAATGAAGGACCAATTCATAGCAGGCAAATGGCAAGAGTCAGTGAGAAGGAAAATTTGACGAGAGTTGGTGATCAGTTACGGATAGGATAAATAAGTAGGGAGGAGAAAACATCTAGTCTCCAAACCCCAAGATATCTTGTGAGATTTAAGCAATCAAAATTATATTCCTTTGGGCAGAGAAACCACATGTAAGGGTATGATTCCCCATGTGGACAGAGGGAAGGAAGGAAGGAAAGGAGGAAGGAAGGAAGGAAGGAAGGAAGGAAAGAAGGAAGGAAGGAAGGAAGGAAGGAAGGAAGGAAGGAAGGAAGGAAGGAAGGAAGGAAGGAAGGAAGGAAGGAAGGAAGGTGCAGCATTGCCCAACTGGAACTGGCCAGTTGGGTCCCCAGTGGGGCAGCTACTACTAATCACAGATTGTTGTTCGTCCTTCATTCTTGAAGAGGACTGATGACATCAGATGGGTGATGTCTTGACTTGCAAGTGAACTGGATTTAAGTGAGGCAGGGCTGTGCAAAGCACCTAGGTGGTTCAGTGGATAAAATGCTAGGGCCTGGAGTTAGGAAAACTCATCTTCCTGAGTTCAAATCTGGCCTCAGACACTTACTAGCTGAATGACCCTGGGCAAGTCACTTAACCCTGTTTGCCTCAGTGTGTTATACAAAGAAGACTGGAGACAATATAAGATCAGTTCTAGGGCTATTACACTAGCAATCTTCTAGGTCACTCATAGAGTCCTTGTAGAGTGGAAAGGGACTTCAGAGGTTGTCTTATCTGAGTCTCTCATTTTACAGTTGAGGAAACTGAGACCCACAGAGGGGAAATGACTTGGCTAAGGTCACAGAGCTAATACATGGCAGAGTACAGATTTGAATTCAGGTCCCATAACTCCAGATTCAGTGTTCTTTGGTAATGGGTGGTAGGAATGAGACCAGAGAGAAGGGGATGGATTCAAGAGAAGCTGTGGAGGCAGAACTGACAGGGCCTAGCAGCCAACTGAATGTGGGGAGTGAAAAAGAGGAACAGTGAAAAACAGACACTGAGGAATCAGAAGGAGGGGCTTCTCCTCCAGCTAGGCAGGAGGATAGAGAATTGAAGGCAGCAGGAACAGCGAGGGAATTCCACATCACAGAAAGCTTTGGGGTAGCTTCTACCTTCCGACGAAGCCAATGTCACTAATTAGCAGCTAGGGGCTAGACCATGAGGCCGGCTCTACCACAGCGAAGGCTCATTAGATTCACAGAGGGCAAGGAGGGCCCAGGTCTGCTGCTTCTTTTAGAATTTGCCACTGGGCCGTAGAGTACACACTGCACACTGATTTCTAAAGAAAACATTTCAGATGGAGAGTTTCCATACAAAGCACTCTGGATTCTGCACAGAATCCCTTCTCCCTTCCATCCACGCTTACCTGGGGCCCAGGTGGGCCTTGTTCTCCTTTGAAACCAGGCAAACCAGGCTTCCCAAGTGGGCCGGGGTCTCCCCTCTTTCCTTTCACTCGTCCGTTTCCAGGGTCACCCCAGGGACCTCTAGGCCCTGGAAAACATTTATAACACAAAACAGATGTCTATATCATTATAAGCAAGAGGGGGAAATACAGCAAAAAACTTTTGGAAAACATCACAATTAACATGTGTCCCTCCCCTCACCCCTAACCCTTGCCCAAGTTTTCTCTTCTCCAGGATAAACATCCTCTGTTCTTTCAACCACATGTGGGCAGCTCTCATTACTGGGAATCTTTTTCTTAACATTAAGCTGAAATCTGTCATCTTCCAGGTAACAGCCAACATGAAGAATGAGTCTCCCCTCAGAGCTTCCCTTCTCCAGTTTAGAGATGGCCAACATTCAAGGACTGCTATCATGCTGGCCTAATGTCTTTTCCTAAACCATGGCACCCAGAAATGAAAACAATGCCCCAAGTATGATCTGACCAGGGCAGAGGACTGTCATCTTTCTGGTTGCAGGCACTGGGAAACTCTTTAGACAGCCCAAGGTCACATCAACTTTCTTGGTCACCATATCACACTGTTGTTTCATATGGTGCTTGTAGGCCATTAAAAAAAACAACAACCATATTTTTTCAGACAACCTGCTGTCCAGCCATGTCCCTCTCCATCTGGTACTTGTGAAGTTGATTTTTTTCCTGAACCAGAGTATAAAACTTTGCATTTATCCCAATTAAACTTCACCTTATTATATTCAACTCAATGTTCTAGTCTGTCAATAGTTTGGGATCCTGACTGTCATCCAGTGTGTCAGCTCTCTCTCTTCTAGCCCTGTGCCATCTGCAAAATGATAAGCGTGTCATCTATGTCTTTATCCAAGTCATTATCATTTAACATGATAAACATGTTAAACAGCACAAGGCTAAGCACAGATTCCTGAGGCACTCCACTGGAGACCTCCTGCCAAGATGACATCAAACGAATAATGATTACTCTTGGAGGCTGGCCATTTAGCCCATTACAATACAATCAATGGTACTACTGTCTTACCCATATCTCTTCATCTTTCCCATAAGAATTGAATGGGATATTTTGTCCAATATACTGCTCACTAAAATCTCAGTAAAGTATATCTATAGAATTCTCTTGATGATGATGATAGACAGATAGATAGATAGATAGATAGATAGATAGATAGATGATAGATAGATGAATAGTTAGATGGATGGACAGGTAGGTAGATAGGCGGATGGATGGATGACTTTTGAATGTGGAGAAGGGGGCAGGTGTAACATGGATAGATATTGATATTTTAGAAACATGTATTTGGCATCTGTGTGAAACACAGATGGGAGAACGGAGAGACTGGAGACAAGGACCAATTAAAGACCAATTAAGGAGGTTGTTGCAATGTCCATATAAGACATGATGAGGGTATGACCTAGAGTAGAGGTTATGTATGTGGAGAGAAAGGGATGAATGTAACAGATAGTGCAGAGGCTGGGACAACTAGACCCTGTCAACTGATTGTACATGGATAGGGCGACGGAAGTCAAAGGTTGTGAGCCTGGAGGCCAGGAGGATGGTGGTGTCTTCAACAGTGATAAGTTCAGAAGAGAGGTAGATCTAGGGAAAAGGGAATGAGGTCTGTTTCAGACATCTTGAACTTGACATATCTATGGAACATTCGGGAAGAAAAGCCTGGCATGTGGTTTGTCATGTGGGACTGCAATGAAAATGAGAGGCTTGGAGTTGATGGCCTCTGAGGTCCTTTCCAGTTGTAGATCTAGGAGCTCATGGATGACCTTGGACAAATCATTTCACCTGTCTTAGTTTCCCCCTCTTTAAAATGAAGGGATTGGACTAGATGGTCTTTGAGGCCCCTTCCAGCTGTAGGCTTATGACACTATAATCCCAGTGGTGAGGCTTTCCAAAAACTTAGCTCGCCATTGCTGTTCCAAAGCCAAGAGCCTTTCTACTTTGGCAAAGACCTGTCTGAACATTCATTGTTCTTGCATGTTCTTCAAGAACCCAGGATCACATCCATATCATTGTGAGGCAGCAGAGGAGGCCTTTAGTAGGAGGAACTCTGTCATCTAAGCAGAAGTCGCCCAGGCCATTTGGAGAATCCAAGTAAACTTTACTAAAATCAAGTCAAATAGCATTGATTAAAGTGCCTACTATGTGCCAGGCACTCTGCACATAGCACTGAAGGCTAAGCTCTTTGATTTCTGGTGGGGGCCAGGAGCCACTAAATTGCCCCTAGAACTGGGCCTAAGAAATAGAGTCTAAGAAATCTCTTGGGCTTCTCCTATAAGGCATCGAGATCATCTACATAACAAGAAACCAAGAGTTGAGACTCAGACCACCTTTCCTCTAGTGAAATGACTTCCTGATCTTCAAGCAAGGGAATCCCCTGTAGAAACTACATCTCAAAGTAAGAGTATCAACAGATGGATTTAATTCCAAGGGTTCTTAGCTTGTTTTGTGGCCTGGACCCCTCCCTTAGGCAGGGAGTTTGGGGAAGCCCATGACCCCTTTCTCAGAATCATGTTTTCAAATATATAAAATAAAATAAATAAATGCCTTAGAATGCAAAGAAACCAATTTCTTGAAATACAGTTATCAAAATATTAAAAAAAAAAAGATAAGTTCATGGACCCCAAGTAAAGAACCCTAGCTTATAGAATCTAGGCTAGCTATTATTTTCAACCAGTATTAAAAGTCCACGTGTCTTACCAAGTTTTCTTTGCCCCCAAATCGGAGGTCTTCGGACACGTGTTTATCATAGAATCACAGATCCAGACCTGGAGAGACCTAATCCATCCACTTCTTTATGCAGGTCTGAAGGTTAAAAACATGGGGATTTTTCCATTTTAAATCCAATATGACTTCAATAGGGATTATCTGATGCGACCAAGAGAGTTCATGAAACTCGGTGTCCTTTCCAAAGAGATCATAAATTAGTCACATAACCTTTCCTGACAGGTGAAAGCATCACCAGGTAGCCGGTGATTTTTATAGATGAGCAAAGGGAAGTGAAACCACCTGCCCAAGGTCATGAAAGGAATCAGACAATGAGCATTTATTAAGTGCCTACTGTGTGCCAGGCACTGGGCTAGGGACATAGCAAAAAAATGTATCTATATCTATATTTATATGTAATATATATGAATACAGCAAATGTCTGTGTGTCTGTAAACAATCCTTGCTCTTAAGGAGCTTCCATTTAAGCATTAAGCCAATGTTCTTCCCTGAAGTCAGAATGACTAAGAGTGAGGGTCAAAAATATCCTGAAAATGGCCCACTTTGTCACTGTGTAGACATTTCCAGCAAGTTTACAAACTAGCTCTATTCTGCCTGGTATGTAAGAAACAACAAGCAGCCCCAGAGACCCTCTCTGTGCATCACAGCCCAGCTGTCCTTTGACATACCTGCAAACAACAGACTGGTTTAATTGGGATGGTCTGGAACAATTAGACATCTATCTATCTATCTATCTTTCTTTCTTTCTTTCTTTCTTTCTTTCTTTCTTTCTTTCTTTCTTTCTTTCTTTCTTTCTTTCTCTCTCTTTTTTCTTTCTCCCTTCCTTCCTTCTCTCCCTCCCTTCCCTCTCTCCCTCCCTCCTTCCTTCTTTCTTTCCTTCCCTCCCTCCCTCCTTCCTTCCTTCTACTTCCTTCCCTGCCTCCTTTTTTTTTTTTTAATAAAGCACCTAGCAACCAAACTTGCCTAAATGAGATTTTCTCAGCAAAGCTAAGATGCTGGGCTTTTAAATTTGGGGCCCAGAAAATATATAATTTGTATTAGAAATTAGGTAGCAGCTCAGTTCAAGATAAATAAGCTACTTCTATAAAACATCCTGAGAAGAGAAATGGGGCTGAGTTATATCTTTCTATTTTTCAGAAAGATAACCTTTCCATGGCCCTCTTCATCAACGGATAACTTATTAAAATACAGTCTTGGTCTGAAGAAGCAGGTGTGGGAAGATCACTACTCTTTTTCAGGTAGAACAAGATATTGGCTAATCCATTGCCCTTTTAATCCAAGGGCTTCTGGGGCCCCTGATTTTTAAATTAACAAGGCGTTAATGATGTACCGGTAAACACCGGCTGTTGTTCTGTGCAGTGATCAATAGTCCCCTTCCATTTCTGAGAATAACTATGAATACACAGATGAAAGCCATGTTAGGCAATAAGGTTTTGCGAAAAGAAATCCGCATGTAGAGGTCACCCATGGGCCAGACACGCAGTTCTAATTCTTTATTCAGGTTTGAAGATAAAAACACGTTGTTGATTTTTCCATTTTAAATCCAATATGACTTCAATAGGGATTATCTGATGCGACCAGGAGAAGTTCATGAAACCTGGTGTCCTTTCCAAAGAGATCATAAATTAGTCACATGACCTTTCCTGACAGGTGAAAGAAAGCAGGGAGCAGGTATCAGGGAGGGGGCGGGGGAAGAGAAGGGAGGGGGCAGCAACTGAGCTCTCCCATGACTTCTCCAGCACAGTAGAAAGTACATTTCTCTTATAACACAGAGAAGACCATAAAAACATGAGCTGACCGGTGAAGAATCTGACCTTGAGACCCAGCGAGGGTCAGAGGTGACCCAAAGCCCCCAGATCGATGCTGGAAGGGTCAGACAGCACGGAGGAGAAAATAAGATTGTTAGTTAGAGGCAGCCCACGTTACTGCAGAAGCTGAAAAGCAATCCGTCTTGTACACCGGGGGTACATCATAATCAATACACATGCAGGATCAGTCGTACAGAAAGCCAAATATTTTCCAGTGCAATTTATTCTGAAGCCATTATGTTAACCCTACTACTACAGTTCCCTAAAGGTAATGTCTCAGAGACTAATGGGAGGATTGTTGACTTAGAGCTGGAAGCCCTCCGAGGCCATCGAGTCCAAGCCCCTCATTTTACAGAAGAGGAAACTGAGGCCCAGGGAGGTTACAAGACTTCTCCAAGGTCACACAGCTAGTAAATAAATGGAAGAGCTGGGATTTGAAGCCAGCTCATCTTGACTCCAAATGCAGTAAGCATTCTCTCTCTGCTGCCCCACCCTGCCTATACAACAAAACCCATTT